CTCTCTCTCTCTCTCTCTCTCTCTCTCTCTCTCTCTCTCTCTCTCTCTCTCTCTCTCTCCCCCCACCACATCAACACCACCTCCACCAGCCCCAAGTGTCACTGCCACGACCACCTCCTTTTGGTCGAGTTGTCGCTTCCTCCTCCTACCTATACGCCTTCTCTTATGCCCCCTCCTTTGCCTTCTACTTCTCCACTTTCTTCTCTTCTTCTTCTTCGTCCTCCTCCCACCCCCACCCCTCTCTCCTTTTTCAATGGTCTGGAAAGTGCTGACCCACACTAAATGTTGGTATGTCAATTTAAATGAAATCCAGATTTTGATCATCATTATCCTTTGTGAAAATCCTAATTTCCAATTGTTGTTCATTTATAATTCAAACTCTAGGTGACCCATTTAGAAAAAGCTTAATGACTAAAAAGCATCCATTAAGTGTCTTGTGAGGACCTTCTTTTAGTTGCAAAAACAGAAACTGATATATGCACTTGATAATGGACCCACGCATCAATTAGAACCCCACCATACCATTCAAATCAGTAGTAGTCATGCCCTATTATCTAAGATTTCATCAACCAAAAATAAGAACGAAAGAAAAGTCAAGCATGATTCCGATACAGACCACTGATAACAAACTATAACAAGGCCTCACCCCCTTATTATACAGAATAAGAAAATAAATTATGCTTTCCAAGTGTCATTTGCTTTCATGCACTGTAGGTGGTTTCATCTTTGATGTTTAGATGTGTTCATGCAACACTAAAAGAAATATAAAGGGAACAAGCTACTTAAATTAGTGCAATGTTACATTAGAAACAAGATTATCAAAAGATTCGAAATTAATGTCACTTAAGACAACATGCAAGGTTCTGCAGAACTCGATTGTGCTCCTAGCTAACTCTTTTTTCCCTTTTTAATCTTCATTTTTTTCCCAAACACCCATAATCCACTATTTGCATATATCAGTTTGCTAAGACCGCTGTGCCTTTCTGTTATGATCTACTTCTGCAGACAAATTTAGTTCCAAGTTGTGCAGGGGCTGTTACTAATCAATTTGAAGTACATGAACTAGGGTGAGAGATAGGCCAACGAGATGACAATAGAAGTATTTCCAACTTCAAATTTGAGAGCAAGAATCCACTGGGAACAACCTAAACCTAATAGGAAGAATCAGAAAGCACCAACTGGCGTCCAGCGAGTATCAAACATCAATGCATAAAAAATGATTAGTGGCACTTTAGATTCCCGAGTAAAAGAAGAGGTAAGTTACAGTAAAACAAACACAATGTGTGTGTGTGTGTGTGTGTGTGTGTGTGCGCGTGTGTGTGTGTATATATATATATATATATATATATATATATATATATAGAGAGAGAGAGAGAGAGAGAGAGAGGTCACCTTGTGAGAACTACTAACCCCTGGCCTTGAGTTCTGCGAGGCGTCTCGAGAGGTCATCCTCATCGACCTTCTCCTTCTCCTTGGCAGGGATGGCATGTGATGCGGCCTGCGGAAGCCCGACGGAGACCTCAAGGCCATAATCGTCCGCAACCTGCTGCATAAGGCTGTTGACCTCGGTCTCGGGGGTGGAGAGGCTGGTGGATCCGGCCATGGCGCCCTCCATGAACTCAGCCTGGACCTCCATGTTGACGAACTGCCGCTCGAACTGGTCCATGGTCTCGGACATCTTCTGGAGGTTGCCGGAGGCGAGAGCGGAGTCGAGGGATTTGACGATGGAGCCCATGGACTTACCGATGGCCTGCATCTTGGCCTGGGTGTCGAGACGGGCGACGACGGCGTCGAGGCGGGAGGCTAGGCGGAGGTAGTTCATCTGCTCCGTGCGCTTGCGGATGGCATTCTCAGCGTAGATCCGGGCGCCGTCCATGTTGCCCTTCTCGATCGCCTTCTTGACCTTGAGCTTCTCGGCCTTCTCGTCCTTCTCGCACTTGCGCGCCTGCCTCTGCAGGCTCTTGGATGTGAACTTGAGCTCCATGATCTGGTTCATCAGCTTCTCAGTGTTTCCCATGGCGGATGCTTCAAGGGAATCGATCGATCGACGAAGACCTCGGGTTAGGGTTTCCTGAAGGCGAAGGAAAAGGAGGCAAAGGGCTGGATCATAGAAACCGGAGTTGGAAGGCTGAGGTGGTAACAAGCTATGGGGGCAAAACGGTAAATGGACAAGACGGACTCAACCCAGTTTCCGCTCGAGCCCTACTCAAAACTTATAACCCAATGTTGGGTCCATTTACGAGTCAAATGCAAACCTGAACCGGTTCGATCGTGATCACCTGATTAAGAACTCATTTACTGTTCTTCCTTTCGATTCGATTTCGGATCGATATATATATATATATATATATATATATATATATATATATATATATATGTATATGTATATGTATATGTATATGTATATATATATATATATGTGTATGTATATATATATATATATATATGTGTATGTATATATATATATGTATATATATATATA